AAATAAATAAATATATATATATATATTTTTTTTTTTTTTTTTTACTGGTGTGCTTTTTATAAACGGCATTCTCACTAAAGATTCTAAATACAGAACTGAAGAATGTATTTTGTAAAACCAGGCATCACATCAATACAATACAAAAAGGATAACTCATTAGCACTTTTGAAGCCTGTCAATAGTTTACTATTTGAAATGGAAACAAGTAAAGACAATGCTATCTGCTTCCAATCCCCAATAATCATTTCTGACACACACATCTGTTTTTTGTAGCTTTGGGAGAGCAAGAAATAATGAAATATGCGATTGCTTTAATTAGTGTCATTTCACTGTAAACAAACCGGGTCTGAAGCAGCAGCCAAGCATTTCTGGATCAGTCCCTCAAAAGTGGTCTTCAGAACCATGTGCTCCTCAGGGATTGGCTTTTTGGTGATCTTCTCAGACGGTATGGACTGAAGTGGCTGAGAGAGACCACAGAACAGAGTAAAACCACTAACATGCCTCCAACAAACACCTAGCATTAAAGTTTTTTTTTTATTATTGTACATAAACCAATACCTTTATGACGTCTCCAATTGGTGCTCCAGGCGCCCCTTCCATGTTGCCCTGAGGCATGCTGGGGTTTCTGCCCAGGGGTCCCAGTGGCTGCTGCTGGATGGGGCTGAAGGTGGCTGGGCCCACAGGCTGATCTGGACCCTGTTGTTGCAGCTGAAGGGTCTGCATGGTTTGGACAGCAGGTACCTGAGGGTCTCCTAGAGGGGTCATGATGGGTGCTGTAATGGGGGCTGGTGGAGTGAAGTTTTCTGGAACCTGGAGACGAAAAACACGGGATGAAATCAGGAAATCAAGCCTAATCCACGTAGATTAGGAGCAAGCAGCCGATCTTCAATCTCACCTTCTTCTTTTTGGGAGCTCTGTTGAGTGCGGGAGGATCGTTCCAGCCGTTCTGAGGTCCTGCAGAGGAACAGAAGAGAGCATCTCATTTTGGATTTCAATTGGTGGAGCTGCACGGTCCGACCTGCTGGACCTCTGAGAGGGTAATGCAAGGCGGACGTCAGTTTAAGCTGTTATTGAACATTACATCATACGGATTGGAATAGGTTCTAAATCGCAACAATTGCAGGACTCGACACTTAAAGATTTGTTCTGCATGCACCATTGGACTCAAGAAAACAATAAATTATATTGGACAGCTAACAAAATACACCATTTTAAAATTTACAAGCATAATGTGACGTTTATCATGCTTACCATGCAAATGCAGAGCAAAATGATCGCTTATGCCCTTGAATCTATTTTTCAGCCAATACTTGATCATTGTATATCTAAATGAGTGATTATGCATTTTAGAAGTACTTCAGAAAAACAAAATAACCACTGCAAAATTCTAGTGAATCTTACTGATTTGTGCAATTATTTATTAATAATCCGAGATGGACAATTACAGTCCTCTATGTTAGATTGTTATAACTCCCTTCATAAATTCACCTTCCATAGACCAGGCCGAGTCTTGATTTAATCCTCCTGCAAATATATAAGATAGCGGACGCATGACGTGTCCATCAACATTTATTAAGCAACATGAAGATTTTAGATGATGACTTAGATTTTAGAATATATGTATGTAACTCGTGTAATAAACAGCACAGGTTCACCACTGGTAATCATTTTTAACCGTGTGTTCAACTCAACTGATCACCACTTTTAATCACCTTTTCGTCTTTTCAAGCCTACCTTTAACAAATGCTATAATGAGCAAGAATCTATATGTCAAAAGTTTGAAAGATTTAAGATTTTTTATGTTTTTTTAAAGAAGTTTCTTATACTCACCAAGGCTATATATATATATATATATATAAATAAAAAACAGCAAAATGTTTTTTTAAAGAAGTTTCTTATACTCACCAAGGCTATATATATATATATATAAATAAAAAACAGCAACATTGTGAAATATTACTACAATTTAAAATAACTGTTTTCTATTGTAATATATGTTAAATGTAATTTATTGCTGTGATGCGCAGCTGTATTTTCAGCATCATTCCTCCAGTCTTCAGTGTCACATGATCTTCAGAAATCATTCTAATATGCTGATCTGCTGCTCAAGAAACATTTCTGATTATTATCAGTGCTGAAAACAGCTTCATATGTTTGTGGAAACTGTGATACATTACCATTCAAAAGCTTGAGGTAAGTTTAAAAAAAATATAATATTGTTTGAAAGATTTATGGTTTTTAATATATGTTCCAATAAATGTTGTTTTTCCAAAGTTTCCAATAAATGAAAAAAACTTCCAAAGTCCCCCCCCTCCCCAAAACAAAATTCTATTCACCAAAGAATGTTTTTACCATTGATAATAAGAACCAAATCAGCATATTATACTGATTTCTGAAGATCATGTGACACTGAAGACTGGAGTAATGATGCTGAGAATACAGCTTTGATCACAGGAATAAATTACATTTTACAATATATTCACATAGAAAACAGTTGTTTTAAATTGTAATAATATTTCACAACATTACTGTTTTTTTGTTTGGTGAGCAGAAAGGGCTTTTGACCAGTAGTGTGTCTCCAATATATATATGAAACACTTGATGAATTTCATCAGTTACAGCTTATATGTCTCAGATCTGGTGCTGAGTGCAGACCTGTTCTCTGGGAGAATGGAAACAGTGCGGGTTCAGTCTGAATACCTGGAGCTCTGGCGACCGGAGGAGGAAGATAAGCCGTGGGCGACCCCGGCCCACCGTGCTGGAAAGACATGCCAGAAGAGAGAGGAGGAGGAGGAGAGAAAGGCTGACCTCCCTGAGGAGGCCCAGAAATCACAGGAGGAGCTGCTGGCTGAGAGGAGGCAGGGTGCATGAACTGTGGAGGATAGACAGCAGCAGCAGAGGGTGGAGGAGGAAGAGGAGAGGCCAGAGACGAAGAGTACTGAAGAGGCTGATAGATGCCAGGAGTCCCGGCGGCAGGCATGAACTGCTGAACCTGAGGATAGTCTGAAGATCATGAGGAGAGGAGACAACAGGCAGTTAGTGCAGTTAGTCATTTACAGAGTCATTTCACATTACAGCCACAGTTATGAGTGTGCATATATTAATAAACAGCTTTAGTGAAATGATCTTTAACCGTTAAAAGGGATAGTTCACCCAAAAATGAAAATTACCCCATCATTTACTCACCCTCAAGCCATCCTAGGTGTATATGACTTTCTTCTTTCAGACGAATACAATCGGAGTTATATTAAAAAAATGTCCTGGCTCTTCCAAGCTTTATAACGGATTTCGATATAAGCCAAGAGGAGACTGGTTTTCCTTTGCTCCTGTAAACAAACGTCGGTTCTCGCGAGACTAGCATATTCTCACCGAACCTTACGCTACACATGTACTACGTCATCCTTATGACAGTTAGTGCAAGCTACAGAAAAGTGGTTATAACATTAAATATAAATATGTTTCTTACATAAACGCAGTGATTCGCTACAGGAGGCCTTTATTCACCCCTCGGAGCCGTGTGAGGCTCTTTTTATTACGGATGGATGCACTTCATTGGACTTCTTTTGGACTACTGACAAAAACACCCATTCACTGCCATTATAAAGCTTGGAAGAGCCAGAATATTTTTAATATAACTCCGACTGGATTCGTCTGAAAGAAGAAAGTCATATACACCTAGGATGGCTTGAGGGTGAGTAAATTAAGAGGTAATTTTCATTTTTGGGTGAACTATCCCTTTAACACACATCTCAATACATACCGAGCATGCAAAAGTTCATGCAAAGATTTTACAGCAGCCAGCATCCATACAAAAATTCATGCATTGCTTACGTTTAATCTTTGTAGGTGAAGTCTGTCATTTCTGCACCACTAGTTTTTTTACCGAGAACTATATAGAATGTACTTTTTTAATGAGTATAAAGTAACTGCTCATTAAAAAGTAGTACCTACTCAGTATGCAATTTCAGACACAGCCAGCAAGTCAGTGGTCAGCCATTGGTCAATAGCCGAGTCCCAATTCAGAGACTGCGTTCAAAGACCAACTGCATCACCGCGGCACACTGAAGGCTTTCACAATCTTCCCAATAATATCTAGCAATTCAACTTGGTCAGATTTCACCATTTTGAATTGAAAAAAGCCTAAATCATTTACATGATTAATTTAATGTAATTAGCAATTGAATGTGACGAGACAAGAATCATAAACGGAGCTCTTTTCTGCATAAAAGTGATATGAGGAGGAGTGTAAGTTTGATTTATTTTTTTATGTAAAATTTTTTTTTATTTTTTATGGGGAATTCTCAGATTTGAGAATCTGAGGGTGCAAAAAAAATCGCCTTTAAAGTTGTTCAAATGAAGTTCTTAGCAATGCATATTACTAATCAAAAATTAAGTTTTGATATATTTACGGTAGGGAATTTACAAAATATCTTCATGGAACATGATCTTTACTTAATATCCTAATGATTTTTTGGCATAAAAGAAAAATCGATAATTTTGACCCATTCAATATATTTTTGGCTATTGCTACTAATATACCCCAGCGACTTAAGACTGCTTTTGTGCTCCAGGATCACATTTGTAGTTATTGCATTTTGCATGTATGTAGCTGGGATAGGAGAAAACATTGTAGTATGACCTTTAAGCTCATTTAGTGAGAGTTTTCTAAAGTTTAGTGGTAAGAATGAGGAATGCAGTCATGATTTCTGTGATTGCACACTTACTCTGGTACTGCTGGGAGAACATGAACGCAGCGGAGGCAGGAACGGACGCACTCACTGGAGACTGAAGGCCAAAGGCTGGAGCTGTGGACTCCACCTGAGGACAGAAGAGACAGAAACCTGTTTAGACTGACTTCTGACATGTTACGTGTTGAGAGGAAGAAGCGTGATCCAGCCTGCCACCAACACTAGAGATGTGCAAAATGACATCTTTTTATATATAATGTTATTATACTCACTAAAGGGATGTGCGTCTCCGTAACCGAGGCGATACGCATCTCGATGCACAGCCAACGATACGATACATTAAAGATATGAAGCAGATACCGATGCAGTGCGATACAATTATATGCCGATGCAAATCGGTGAATCTTACCATCCTTCCTACACAAATCTCTTTGCTGTCACTTCTGACAGTTCATTTCTGACTAAATAAAATAGCTGACCCTAAAACTTTCGAATGACAGTGTATATACAGTACAATCTAGTAGTATTAAACCGTGTTATCAGATAGCATGTTACTCTTTACATTACACTGCATCTGCCAGCTAAATATCACACATCACCCACAGTATTTACATAAAGAACCCAAAGAACTAGTGCCTTTTGTCATGAATTTTACACAAGGCATATTTTATACGTTGATTCTGATACACAGACGTTCAATATATCGAAAATCTAACGTTACAACCCATCAACTTAGTCAAAACAGGACACTCTTGACATCTCTGGCTTTATAAAGTAAAAAACAATACAGCTTCAGCATATCTTCAACAATCATGAAAACAGATGTGAAGGATTTTAAAATGATTGTCAACACCACTTGAGAATCCGTCCAGCTGCTAATGAAATGCACTGCAGTTTAGGACAAAAGACAAGCATGCAGGTCAGTCTGGTATTTAAAGGAGACATATTATGCCCCTTTTCACAATATGTAATAAGTCTCTGGTGTCCCCAGAATGTGTCTGTGAAGTTTCAGCTCAAAATACTCCACAGATCATTTATTATAACATTTTGAAAATGGAAGCAGAAACACGCCGTTTTTCGTGTCCGTCTCTTTAAATGCAAATGAGCTACAGCTCCCCGCCCCCTTTTCTAGAATAGAGCTGCGCCGTTACAGCTCGTACCTGCTAAAACATCTGTTTTGGTTCTGATTATCATGCTTATCGCGCTGAAATCATGCGTTTTAAACCATACGAGTTTAAACTTCTGATATAGGGTTTTCTGAGCGCACACATCTGAAGCACACGCACAGAAAGCGGCTGTCACAGCATGTGAGTACTAAACTAAGTTCTCATTCACACACACAAGTTTACGTTAAAAACACACACGAGTTACAAAAAACTGGGTTATGTCTGTGAAGGTAAACAGCTGGGAAATAAATCGCTTGTTTATTTTAGATCTGTGTGGCAGCATTAATATACAGTAAATAAATCAATAAATGCACTGCTCTGTCGTCTCCTCTGAGGCTGGGACTCTAAACAGTGTTCTGTGCTCGTCTGTCTGTGCAGACAAACACAGAACAGTTAGCATGTTTAGCTCAAACATTCGCCATGCCATTAGAACTAGTTCACCGTTGTTGCTTGCAAAAACACAATAACGGCGCCGTGGGTGGAATCTTACAGATTAAGGGGCAGTAATATTATAATGAGATCCCTTTACCACGTCACTAGGGGAGCGAAATAAGACGCTTGCAAAAAAAGGCTTACCAAATCAAAGTTACTGGGTTAATCTTTTACACGTTTCCTTGGTTGGTAGATGTACCGGGGACCTGATTATAGCACTTACAACCTGGAAAAGTCAGATTTTCATGATATGTCACCTTTAAAAGTTGGAAGCGGTGTGTGTCATATTGTAATCCTCACACAACTGCACTGCGTCAGCGGAACAGAAGAGATTTATTAGATCCATAAACACTGGAGTAACATCATACCGCAGTAGCGAGTGAGACTGCTGGCAGATGCACATTCAGTCGTACCGTATTTTACGGAATATAAGATGTGTTTTTTTTTAATCTTCTGATTATAACATTATATAATGTTAACATTAAGATCAAGCACACATCTGGATTTGTGTGGAATGAGAGAGGAAAACGAGAAGTTTATTTGTTTACTGCATTTGAGATTCAGTTTTGCTTGAAATAAATTCGTTTTGGCTTGAGGTTTATAAGAAATGTTGTTTATAATGAACGCCACTATCATTTATATTTGTATTTTAGATTCCCTCACTCTACAACAAATCCTTTCAACTTAACAGCATTCAGAACAGAACAGGATGAAAAATATATGTTTAGTGTTTATAATGTTTGTAGATGTTGATCATTTTACATTATTTCTGTGATTTATACACTGATGCGACACTGATTCTCTCTCTCTTTACAATGCAAGTTTGACCCGGTGGGACTAATTTTGCCGGAAAATACGGATTAAATAGGTGAAACTCAACATTAGATGCTAATAACGTAAAAAAGAGAGGATATGAAAGAAACAGATTATTTGTGTGACAAAACAAACATCTGCATTGAATGAATGAAGAGAAGCCTCCTCCCCCTGCAAACTCTGGACTGATGAAAAAGGAGTTCGATAATACAAATAATACTTATTAATGCTCTTTAAATTCTTCTAAAAATTACTGGAATTTATTGGAATCAGCCCATTCTGATATTAGAATAGAACTACATGTTTTTTTACTCTAACTCTAAAGCATAGAACCATAGAAACCATTTACTTGATCAAAAATACAGAAAAATAGTAATATTGTGAGTAACTATTGCAATTTAAATATATATTTTAATTAAACATTTTTTAATATGCTTTAAAGTATAATTTGATGCAAAGCTATATTTTCAGCATCATTACTCCAGTCTTCAGTGTAACATGATCCTTCAGAAATCATACTAATATGCTGATTTATTATCAGTGTTGAAAACAGTTGTGCTGCTTCATATTTTTTTTTATAACCTGTGATACTATTTTCAGGATTTAGAAAGTTGAAAAGAACAGCATTCACATTGGGATTTTCAAATAAAGCCAAGGTAACACTCATTTTCATACAGCACACAGTGCAAATTACATGAATATGACAGTGGGCAAATGCATAAAGCACAGCATAATTTGAAATCACAAATTTAATGTTTAAAGCATTCGATTTGCACGGACCGAAAGTCGCGCAGAGAACACGCGATCATAAAGGTCACATGCACACGTCACAAGATCTCACAACTGGATCTGACTAAGTTTGCAAGGTTTGTGAAATTACATTTTCATTAGTCATTCAAAGATTTGTTTAAATTATATAAATGCGTATTTGCTGAATGCTGACGGCAAATGAGAAAGTATTATAATTTTTGCCTTTCTATTACTAATAATATAAAAACAATCGTTATAATACTTTTTGTATACATTTGAATTCCTTTGTTTAACAGTTCTATCTGATTATTAGTCAGACTTCTATCCGTATTTAGACAGAACTGTTAACGACGACAGCGAACAAGAGGGAGAACGTGAGCACCGTGTGTTCAGGAGCTGCTGCTCAGTGCCGTCAAAATATAAGTCCCGGCTCGAACGCATCGGCCAAACAGAAAAACTTATCGGCCGATACCGATATTTGAAAAATGGCAAATATCGTCCCATATATCGGTCGACCACTAGTTTAGAGACTCAGCAGGCCTGTGGTTTTGCTCATGCGGTTAGCATCTGTCAGTGTGAGCAGCTCTATGGGTCTGTACCTGCGGGTCAGCGGCAGGCACCAGCGGGTGAGGGACACTGGGCAGAGCTGTAGGGGTTTGGTTACTCCAGGACGTGACAGTAGAGGCGGATCTACCCTGAACACAACACAAACACAAACACACGCTGGTATCGGCCGCTGGTGAGTCAAACAATGCAGCCGCCGGGTGTGAGTGTCTCTGGTACCTGCTGGTAATACTGAGGAGGTGCAGCGGGGACCTGTGGAGGTTGTGTGTATGTCTGCACTGGTGCAGCGGCGGGAAGCGTCTGGCGCATGTCCTGCATCCCAGTCACTGCATGCTGCTGCTGACCCAGAGCTCTGCTCAGACGATCACGCAACTGCTGCACAGCAACCTACACAAAACAAAAACCATCCGAGCTGACATTAAAACCTAGAAACACAACTAAAATAGCAAATAGCAACAAACAGTGCCCATAGCACATGAGAGACTCTATTCAACTCTATTTGACAGCTGATTTTCAATAATTTCAGGAATTCTGATCATGGTTGTCATTAAATTTAATAACTAATTAACAGGTTAATTAGTTATTAAACATTAATAGCGCAAAATGCATGTCGAGTACTCCAAAAGCCCTGTTTTTAATTAATAATAACTTACATAACTAAGTTATTATTAATTAAAAACAGGGCTTTAATTAATAATAACTTACATAACTGTAATTATGAAGTTTTAATATTTTACCATTTAAACTGTTTAAAATTTTCAGCCCAAAATGGCACGCATTGAATCATTTTTGATGCATACCAATAGATGAGTTAAGTAGATTAACTGAAGCGGTCAATTTGAACTGATTCATGGAAATGAATCAAACTTTCTGAATCTATATCTATATCTTACAGCTCTCATAATTGAGTTGCAGAACTAAGATCGCAAACCTACTCCAAAAAATAATTCTTCAGGAAACTTAATGGTCTCTTAAAAGCACATTCAAATCTAGCATCGCGGATTCATTTTATAATGGATTGTGATTCTGAATATATACCCAACGCATTTTACTATTATTTATATACTACTGTAATATTTATTTATATTTTAAATTACCTTTTATTTTACATTTTAATTTTTAATTTCAGTTTAACTTTGTTATTTTTACGTGCTTTTATATTTTTATTAGTTTTTGTTTTTTGAGTAATTTTAGTACTTCAACTTCAACTTACTTTATTTCAGTTAGTTACCAAGGCAGCACTTCATAAATATTATTTTTCATCTAATATTTAGGTTTTATTTTAGTTTTATCTAAATGAACAAAACACATTTTCTAATAATTTTAGTTAACAATAACAACACTGACCCAACCAGCAAAGGTCAAAATCCTTGTTTTAGCAAAATAACTGCATGTTATGCAAGATGTGCATTGCCTTGCTATCCAGGACGCATTAGTATTTGCCCTACAAATGCAGTCACATGTGCAATCAGATCATTTTAGACCACGTTTACTCTGTTTTTAGTGCTGACCACTATTGAGAAAAACAACACCAGGTGTAATTAGAGTCATTATAATTTGATATAGAGTTCTGTAGGAAATAATTACACAAATTATTAGCAAAAGCAATAGTAGTTCAATATCAGGGAAGATTTCTCTTGTGTGACCATCTACACAACTTAAGGCGCAATGGTCACCTGCTGAGTGTTGGTGGGCAGGTAAGATATGGCCGTCTGTAAGCTGCCCTGTGATGCCAGCAGACTGGCGTACTGATTCATCTTCACTGCCAGCAGTGCACCCATATCAGGAGAAACACCCCCCTGAGCCCTCAGCACAGCTCTCTGCAGAACCACCACCTTCTCAACCAGCTCCTACAAACACACATGACAACAGCACAGTTAAAACAGCACACTTCTTCAGACTTCATACTGTGTTCACGCTAGGGCTGTCAAAATGGCTGAAAAACTAAAATTGAATTTTGTACTCAAATATGATCAATATTCGAATTATATTAGAATTTAAAATACATGATTTCAGTTAGGGGGGAAAAAAGCTTTTGGCTTCTCTCCTGAAGCCACAAGAGAGCACATCGAGCAAAATATTATGCACGTTTCTTCAAAGCATAATAAAATAACAAGACTATCTTTGAAAAAAAGTGCATAATGTTTATATATCTTATATAATTTGCTTAAACTTAATTGCTTAAACAATTAGAAAGAAAACGGCATCATGCATGTATGTATAGTTTAATAACAAAGGACCGAAAAAATAAACATCACAAAGAGTACTTTCTTCATTTAAAAACTTGAGATACAGTGGGATGGGGAAAACCCACTACTATCTTTGAAAAAAAGTGCATAATGTTTATATATCTTATTATAATTAAACTTAATTGCTTAAACAATTAGAAAGAAAACGGCATCATGCATGTATGTATAGTTTAATAACAAAGGACCGAAAAAATAAACATCACAAAGAGTACTTTCTTCATTTAAAAACTTGAGATACAGTGGGATGGGGAAAACCCACCAAAAAGTAGTTTACATCAATTTCATTTTTACATGGCTTTCTAAACATGCGGCTCTCTTGTGCGAGACGCGAGTGCAACGCTGATAGACGTCCCTCTAGAAAATGTGATAAATATGCGCTCTGTGTGAACACTTTGGTTTCGGTATTGACGTAAGCAACATCATCTCCGCATTGATTGTTCTCTTTTTCCCGCAATACTTTGAATGAACAACGTAGCAGTACGTACACTTACATCGTCATCGCATCTCGTAAGATAACGCTGCCTGACGCACACCTTAAATTGAGTGGATTTTTATTTTAAATTCGGATTTTTTTTGACAGCCCTAGTTCACACACACGCAAAAACACTAAATCACAAGCAAGCTCAATAAAAACAGGTCTTGCTGGAAAACAGGATGGCCTGCAGTCTTGGAGCAGTGGGCTGCTGGTTCCCGTCTCACCTGCAGTGCCAGCGGGCTGCTGGAGTCCTGAGCTTTGGCCCAGTAGGCCACCAGCTGCTCTACTGTGCCTGCGCAGATGTAGCAGAGACAGGCCTGAGCCTGCAGCGCCGTGTCCTCAGTAGCATCCAGCCTGGAGCCCAGCAGACCTGCACCAAAGAACCCAACGTTCACATTCAATCAAACGTTCACGCACATAACTACCCTTGAAAACATTTGTGGAGTAATCAAAAACAGGGCTGGACAACCTAGCAAGCAAAAATGTATATTGTAATATTTTTTCAAACTTTTGACAACATTCAATATATCTAATCAGATATTAATGTATTTGCTCTGAAATGGCCTAATATATATATAATACAATAAAATAAAAGAGTTATTGTTTTCGACCCGTGTAACCTTGTGTTCTAATACATCAGCTATTATGACCTCCAGCAATAGCCAGGATGATGCCGTCAGCCATTCGGTTATCATGCAGACAGAGGTTAACAGCAGCTTCGTAATCGCCAGTCAGCAGAGCTTGTGTGATCAGCCCATCAATATCTGAAGCAAAAAGCAAGCATGGAATCATTAGTACAAAATTCAAGTTCCTTTAGAAGAATTTGACTCCCAATTTTATTTGATCAATCAACTTAGGTTAGATCAGTCAGAAACTTGCCCTGGCTAACTTTGAGGTTAATGGCGTCTGACGCAGGAGCTGGAGTCACTTCTGTGTTGGACGTCTCCTCAACAGCAGGTTCTTCATCTTCAAAAGGAACCTCATCTAGGTCAGACGTCTCGGTGGCAGGCGGCTCGGTTTCCTCTTCTGCAGGGCTTTTCTTCTCGACCTCGATAAGAAAAAAATACATGTAAATGACAGTGAAACGCATTCGCATTGTTTGACAACACTTGACATTCCACACAACTCTAAAAATTTTGAATGTCATTTTAAAAGCAAAAAACAAAACAAAAAAGCAAAACCAAAGTGTTTTGAACACACACACAAAAAAAAGACTAATAAACTGCCTACTTGAAAACATTCAAAAACAGTAAGTACACTAATAATCAGAGTAACAAATTACTTGGATTAAGATCGGATTGAATTGCTTTCAATCTTATTTACATGGTATTTTTTCAATTATTACCTAAAAATACAGTACTTTCGACCACCTTTTTAAATCACTATTCATATGTATCCCAACCCACAACACAAAATATTACATTTAAATAGGCCTGTTGGTTGTCATTATATTTTTTCTTGCTTCAGTTACGAAACGTTCACCAGGGTGTCCATAATTTCTCAAAAACACAACTAAAATGCCTCTATTCTGGTGTTTCAAACTATTAATAAAATGCATGATGTTCATGTGTTGTAAAACCAAGCAAAAAGTCTCTGAGATGCGCAGAAGTGCATTTATTTCTATTTCGCCAAGTTTCCCAACTGCTTAAATGCATCATCAGAGACTGTTGTTCCACCGGAAGATTGAGTTAAGACATTCTGATCACGAAGGTTTTTTTAATTAAACATATGCAGGACTTCTACAAACATTTAGTCCATTTAAACACCATTCCTTTCTTTCAATAATAGACTGCAAGAAATGTGTAAACAAGCTAATGATTAAAAAAAAACTTGTAAAGCTAATAAAAAAAATAATAAAAAAAGTGTTTTTTTGCTAATGACCACCTATGTGGAGCAATGGGATATCAACAAGAACATAACGATCTTACAATGCCCAAATGACTACATGTTAGTCAACTAGCAGATGGTTTAATAAAATCATGCTGGTTCTCCATGTGCATGCCAATTCCCAAGGTGGCAGAAAAGGTGCATGCATTTTACCACAAGAAAACACGTTCTATGTTTCAAGGCTTGGTTGAGGTTAGTCGCAACACTCAAAAATCGACCACAAAAAAAAGCTACCATGCCAGCATTCCTGCATGTGATTTCAGAGGGTAGTTTGTTTCTCCCTCTGTCTTGTCCAGTTGAATTAACTAAATTCCAATGATATTATACACAGTTACAGAGTAATTCTATCACACAGGGATGCAGCAACGGGAGGCTCTAGCAGCATCGCTGGGCAGGTTGAAGGTACCTCCTCCGCGGGCGTCTCCTCTTCAGCCCTGGATTTATTTGGGTCACCACTAGCAGAAACCTCCTCAACATCTAGCACAGGCCGGAAATCACTGGCTTTCAGAAGATCAGTCTCAGAAACAGGATGCTGTGTCGTCAAATCAGATTCTAGTGCAGGTGGTTTGACGTCAACTGGAGCTTGCCAGCTCGTGGTTTTTTATTGGAGGCAAGATATCCGAAGAAAGGCCAAGAGCAGCCGGCAGCTGAGAGCCACAAGGTGGCATCACATCAGATTCTGGCTGTTGTAAATCAATGGTAGGTTCTTGTACAGATTCAAGAGGTCCAGCTAGTAACGGCAGTGCAACACTGCGCCAGATGCTTGGTAATTGACTGGCACAGAATGTTGAAGCTCAACTGGTGGTGCACATGAAGGAAGAGGATAATTGTGGGCTCATGCAAAGGTTCATTCACAGACTGAAGGTTTTGATCAAGCTTTGGAGGACTTGCATATTTTGGCTCGAGCTGAGGCTGAGCCGGCACAGCAATGGCTTCAGATTCAAGGACTAATTGAGGCTTAGAAACAGGGTCAGGCACAGGGTTCGACACGGGAGCAGGAGTGGGATGATGGTGAGGTATGAGTGAAAGCTTCACACACCACAGTCAGGATAAGATGGAATGCAAGCAAACAAAATGTATGCATAGAAGTGACGTTAACATGAAAAGCCAATAAAGTACATTGACATAAAAAGGAAATCTCTCGAATACTTGTACTGCATTGCAACCTGTCACTGGTTTACATATTTCTATATGAATGTTTTTGTCATATTACAACCATTGCATTGTCTATAGAAATTGCGGCTTTATTCCTTGTGAGATGCAATTACTGTAAATTACTGCTTTTCTGAAACAAGCATGACGTATATTCAGCCGACAAATGAGACACAGCTACAGTGTTGTCAAAGGTGCATTCAGTAGTTCTTTACGTAGCATTATCAGGGTGCTGATATCTATGCGAAAAATCCACACCGAGTGTCTCACCCTTGATACAAATGGCCATTTGGTGCCCCAAAGGAGACGTGATGGTGCCATGCAGTCTGCATGCTCTGTGTATATGGAGTGGCACTACTGGCCATTAGCATTGCTGTTTTTCCATGTACTTTAAGTACAGATACCACAATTGTGTCAGCCACTGCAGTGCCATTTATGGACGTGATTCAGCATGGTCATCTCTGAGTTTTATGCAAATTATACCAATTACAGTGAGTGGTCTACACAATTCCCTTACATGTCCAACAAAAAAGAAGCAACTTGGCCATCACTACTCAGGATTTTCTCCATAATTAAATCTTTCCACCTTGTTGCATGCAGTAATGTTCTGAAGTTCCTTCAGCAGCACTTAAAACACTCAAAACACATCTGAGAGACTGAATTGAAAATTGAACATCATTATTAAACCAAAGCATTCCATGTGTTTTGGACATATGCATAAATATTTGATTAAATCTATAACTATATAAAAGGAAATGGGATTGGTTCTTAGTCGGGTCCAAAGAAAGGAAAAAAACATATGAGAAGGACAGATCTCTCATTTGTAATAACTCCTCTAACAGAAGACATTAGAAGCATGTCTACTGTGGTACTGCATGACCTCACCTTGGAGATTTTGCTCTGTGTTTTGGTGAAGTATTTCTTCTGAGTCTTTGCCAGAAGCTCGGGACCTCCAGCAATAGCCAGGATGATGCCGTCAGCCATTCGGTTATCATGCAGACAGAGGTTAACAGCAGCTTCGTAATCGCCAGTCAGCAGAGCTTGTGTGATCAGCCCATCAATATCTGAAGCAAAAAGCAAGCATGGAATCATTAGTACAAAATTCAAGTTCCTTTAGAAGAATTTGACTCCCAATTTTATTTGATCAATCAACTTAGGTTAGATCAGTCAGAAACTTGCCCTGGCTAACTTTGAGGTTAATGGCGTCTGACGCAGGAGCTGGAGTCACTTCTGTGTTGGACGTCTCCTCAACAGCAGGTTCTTCATCTTCAAAAGGAACCTCATCTAGGTCAGACGTCTCGGTGGCAGGCGGCTCGGTTTCCTCTTCTGCAGGGCTTTTCTTCTCGACCTCGATAAGAAAAAAATACATGTAAATGACAGTGAAACGCATTCGCATTGTTTGACAACACTTGACATTCCACACAACTCTAAAAATTTTGAATGTCATTTTAAAAGCAAAAAACAAAACAAAAAAGCAAAACCAAAGTGTTTTGAACACACACACAAAAAAAAGACTAATAAACTGCCTACTTGAAAACATTCAAAAACAGTAAGTACACTAATAATCAGAGTAACAAATTACTTGGATTAAGATCGGATTGAATTGCTTTCAATCTTATTTACATGGTATTTTTTCAATTATTACCTAAAAATACAGTACTTTCGACCACCTTTTTAAATCACTATTCATATGTATCCCAACCCACAACACAAAATATTACATTTAAATAGGCCTGTTGGTTGTCATTATATTTTTTCTTGCTTCAGTTACGAAACGTTCACCAGGGTGTCCATAATTTCTCAAAAACACAACTAAAATGCCTCTATTCTGGTGTTTCAAACTATTAATAAAATGCATGATGTTCATGTGTTGTAAAACCAAGCAAAAAGTCTCTGAGATGCGCAGAAGTGCATTTATTTCTATTTCGCCAAGTTTCCCAACTGCTTAAATGCATCATCAGAGACTGTTGTTCCACCGGAAGATTGAGTTAAGACATTCTGATCACGAAGGTTTTTTTAATTAAACATATGCAGGACTTCTACAAACATTTAGTCCATTTAAACACCATTCCTTTCTTTCAATAATAGACTGCAAGAAATGTGTAAACAAGCTAATGATTAAAAAAAAACTTGTAAAGCTAATAAAAAAAATAATAAAAAAAGTGTTTTTTTGCTAATGACCACCTATGTGGAGCAATGGGATATCAACAAGAACATAACGATCTTACAATGCCCAAATGACTACATGTTAGTCAACTAGCAGATGGTTTAATAAAATCATGCTGGTTCTCCATGTGCATGCCAATTCCCAAGGTGGCAGAAAAGGTGCATGCATTTTACCACAAGAAAACACGTTCTATGTTTCAAGGCTTGGTTGAGGTTAGTCGCAACACTCAAAAATCGACCACAAAAAAAAGCTACCATGCCAGCATTCCTGCATGTGATTTCAGAGGGTAGTTTGTTTCTCCCTCTGTCTTGTCCAGTTGAATTAACTAAATTCCAATGATATTATACACAGTTACAGAGTAATTCTATCACACAGGGATGCAGCAACGGGAGGCTCTAGCAGCATCGCTGGGCAGGTTGAAGGTACCTCCTCCGCGGGCGTCTCCTCTTCAGCCCTGGATTTATTTGGGTCACCACTAGCAGAAACCTCCTCAACATCTAGCACAGGCCGGAAATCACTGGCTTTCAGAAGATCAGTCTCAGAAACAGGATGCTGTGTCGTCAAATCAGATTCTAGTGCAGGTGGTTTGACGTCAACTGGAGCTTGCCAGCTCGTGGTTTTTTATTGGAGGCAAGATATCCGAAGAAAGGCCAAGAGCAGCCGGCAGCTGAGAGCCACAAGGTGGCATCACATCAGATTCTGGCTGTTGTAAATCAATGGTAGGTTCTTGTACAGATTCAAGAGGTCCAGCTAGTAACGGCAGTGCAACACTGCGCCAGATGCTTGGTAATTGACTGGCACAGAATGTTGAAGCTCAACTGGTGGTGCACATGAAGGAAGAGGATAATTGTGGGCTCATGCAAAGGTTCATTCACAGACTGAAGGTTTTGATCAAGCTTTGGAGGACTTGCATATTTTGGCTCGAGCTGAGGCTGAGCCGGCACAGCAATGGCTTCAGATTCAAGGACTAATTGAGGCTTAGAAACAGGGTCAGGCACAGGGTTCGACACGGGAGCAGGAGTGGGATGATGGTGAGGTATGAGTGAAAGCTTCACACACCACAGTCAGGATAAGATGGAATGCAAGCAAACAAAATGTATGCATAGAAGTGACGTTAACATGAAAAGCCAATAAAGTACATTGACATAAAAAGGAAATCTCTCGAATACTTGTACTGCATTGCAACCTGTCACTGGTTTACATATTTCTATATGAATGTTTTTGTCATATTACAACCATTGCATTGTCTATAGAAATTGCGGCTTTATTCCTTGTGAGATGCAATTACTGTAAATTACTGCTTTTCTGAAACAAGCATGACGTATATTCAGCCGACAAATGAGACACAGCTACAGTGTTGTCAAAGGTGCATTCAGTAGTTCTTTACGTAGCATTATCAGGGTGCTGATATCTATGCGAAAAATCCACACCGAGTGTCTCACCCTTGATACAAATGGCCATTTGGTGCCCCAAAGGAGACGTGATGGTGCCATGCAGTCTGCATGCTCTGTGTATATGGAGTGGCACTACTGGCCATTAGCATTGCTGTTTTTCCATGTACTTTAAGTACAGATACCACAATTGTGTCAGCCACTGCAGTGCCATTTATGGACGTGATTCAGCATGGTCATCTCTGAGTTTTATGCAAATTATACCAATTACAGTGAGTGGTCTACACAATTCCCTTACATGTCCAACAAAAAAGAAGCAACTTGGCCATCACTACTCAGGATTTTCTCCATAATTAAATCTTTCCACCTTGTTGCATGCAGTAATGTGGTTTCTGCTCGTTTTGTCTGTCAAACTTTCTGCTTTCTGAGCTTCTTCGGCCATACAGATCGATTCTCCTGTCGTCTCCACTGGTAGGATAATAATAGAGGTCCATCATCTAATTTACACCCTTCACATCAGCAAACAGCACTTATCTACAGAGGCGGCAGATTCTCTTTGACGTTTGGTGAAACACTGCAAGTCACATTATTCATACACTTTTCAAGCACATGCTTATATTATAGGTCTTATAATTATGTAATTCTTATAGTGCAAATAAAAATGGCAAGGGTCGGCTAAAATGACTGTTTCTGATTGGCTGGCTGGCTGGCTATTAAACACCTGCTAGGGGTCAGGGAGCAAGCTTTTATCAGTTTGCCAGGAGACATAATGCTCTTTACAAGTTTCCAGGCTTCTACAATGAGTGTCTTAGAAGAAAAAAAATGCATTTGCCAGGAATTGGCCAATCATGCACTGAAAGAATACAATTAAAGAATTCAAGGCTTGATTTCGAACTATTTATTCCACTTTGTTTGGTTTATTGATTAGAAAAAGAGTTGAGCCGCTGAAAGTTTTTACTGGGCAAGTATCGTCTCCTCAAAAAGAGGAAGTTTCCTTTGACTAAGGGTCGGCTAAAATGACTGTTTCTGATTGGCTGGCTGGCTGGCTATTAAACACCTGCTAGGGGTCAGGGAGCAAGCTTTTATCAGTTTGCCAGGAGACATAATGCTCTTTACAAGTTTCCAGGCTTCTACAATGAGTGTCTTAGAAGAAAAAAACTGCATTTGCCAGGAATTGGCCAATCATGCACTGAAAGAATACAATTAAAGAATTCAAGGGTTGATTTCGAACTATTTATTCCACTTTGTTTGGTTTATTGATTAGAAAAAGAGTTGAGCCGCTGAAAGTTTTTACTGGGCAAGTATCGTCTCCTCAAAAAGAGGAAGTTTCCTTTGACTTCCCCTTCCTTGGAGGGAAGCAAAACAGTTTGTGTTGCGGTCTTGTTTTCTATAATGAATTAAAGCATTAGAACCAAGCAAGTATCTTCATGTTTGGTTCTCAAAAACCCAGTGCAAAGTCAAACAGGCTAAAACTGAATGCAGAGGTTACCTGAACGAGTCCAAAACAGAAAGGTTTAACCGTTAGCTAAAACACAATGACTGGTGCACTTACCACATCGGCCTCATCAGATTCGCAGTTCTTTTCTAACGCTGATGCAATCTGAAAACCACAAGCAAAACTAATCAGGTCCTATACTCGAAGACACAAAGAATCAGATTTCCACACTGTGAACACACAGAAATACCTTTAGGGCGAGCTCTTCCTTCTTGTATCCCAAAAGCTCCAGATATTTCCCTCGTGCATCTTCTTCAAAGTTCACCTGAGCACATAAATCTATTGGTTACAACTTCAATAAAGATTTGGCTAAATAATACAAGTACGACAGCTTATAAACTACTCTAGTGTCCCACCTTCAGAAAAGACCAGATGGTCTTCTCAAATTCACTCTGAGCAGCTTCAGTCTTGTTTTGGCAGTACTCAAGGAAATTTCCTGCAGTGAGCGTCGCCTGAAGTTGGTTCGATCGATCAAGGAAATCTGTTTCTGTCACAACCTGACTGATATGAACCACATGGGCAGCAGTCTGCTGGGGCTGCTGGGCCGCTGGCTTGATGTTGTCCAAAGTGACCAGTTTTCCACCAAACTGCTCACAAAAAGACAAAAGCGGATTAGAAACAAGCACACCATTTTTAAGGTGTCTTATTAGATCTGTGGCCACTGACAGCGAAAGACGCTCCAACTGGTCTTCGGATCCATTTGGGGGGTTTCTTGAGAGGCGTGATGGTGCTCTGGGACGGAGCGGTCTGAGGCAGCTGTAAAGGCGGCAGCGTCTTGCCCGTACCAAAAGGATCCATATTTCCAAATGAACTACTTAACTGTTGAGCCAAAGAACATCAGGAGCAACTGTGAAAAGATCAAGCTCATGAGCAAGTTAGCTTGTATTGAGAGTTCAGTTGTACCTGTTCGGCCTGTAAAGTAATGGCGTCGTCATTGCTTCCTCCCATGATGGAGTAGATGCTGATATTGCCATCAAAGGCAGCAGCAGACAGCACAGCTGGGTTTCTGGGGCACCACTGGATGTCAAAACACCACTGAGTACTGGTAGGCAGCTCATACAGGACCTGATTGAGAAGACATCACATGTTACACCCCATAAACTTTTGGTGGCACCTCAGTGTTCTTCAAAGGACTAAGCTCTCACCTCAGCCGTGTTGGGGTTCCAGCACAGGATCCGGTTATCTTTCCCACAGCTCAGGAGCAGCTCTGGATCAGCTTCACTCCAGGCTATGGCCAAGACACCTCTGAAAGCACACACAGCGAAAGATGAGGACATAGAAACACTCAAGGAGGGTAGGAGCATCTGCTGATGTTTATATCTACCTTGTGTGGCTCTCCAGCACTTTGAGAGGGGAGGTGGCAAAGCGCAGGTCCCACATTTGGATGACGGGCATTCGGTCATCTTCAGACGCCAGAACCAGCTGAGTGGCCACCTCCGGGTTCCAGGCCAGACCAGAACAATGCATCTGAACCACAACACAAACTCCATCAAAATCACACGCATCATGGACACTAACATGGTACTCGGTATCAGACAGTAATAACGACATAGGACCACAATCTACCTCAATACACAAGCATATCCTAGCAGTACTATGGCAACTAGGGCTGTCAAGCGATTACATTTAGAAAAAAATCTAATTAATTACACAATGTGGTGATTAATTAACCTAATTAATTGCAAATAAAGAAATTACCCATTATTGGGTTAAATGAGAACTTTAAGGCTACAATGGCATTAACTGTGGAACATAAAAGATAACTTGAGAAATGTCTCAGTATTTTTTTTATACTGTGAGCAATGCATCTGAACCACAACACAAACTCCATCAAAATCACACGCATCATGGACACTAACATGGTACTCGGTATCAGACAGTAATAACGACATAGGACCACAATCTACCTCAATACACAAGCATATCCTAGCAGTACTATGGCAACTAGGGCTGTCAAGCGATTACATTTAAAAAAAAATCTAATTAATTACACAATGTGGTGATTAATTAACCTAATTAATTGCAAATAAAGAAATTACCCATTATTGGGTTAAATGAGAACTTTAAGGCTACAATGGCATTAACTGTGGAACATAAAAGATAACTTGAGAAATGTCTCAGTATTTTTTTTATACTGTGAAAGTCAGTGGCAACCTAAACAGTTTGATCACCAACATTCCTCAATATCTGCTTTTATGTTTTGAAAAAAAAAAAAAAGTCGGAGGTTTGCAACAACATGCTGGTGAGTAAATGATGTTAATTGCAAATAAAGAAATTACCCATTATTGGGTTAAATGAGAACTTTAAGGCTACAATGGCATTAACTGTGGAACATAAAAGATAACTTGAGAAATGTCTCAGTATTTTTTTTTATACTGTGAAAGTCAGTGGCAACCTAAACAGTTTGATCACCAACATTCCTCAATATCTGCTTTTATGTTTTGAAAAAAAAAAAAAAGTCGGAGGTTTGCAACAACATGCTGGTGAGTAAATGATGACAGAATTTTTATTTGGGGTGAATTATCCCTTTAATAGTTTTTTTAAATTATTAATTATGAAATATACCGTTTTTTTTATGAAATGAAGCTCTAAATAAGAAGCTAAAACTCCCAGTAGGTGGCGGTAAATGTCTTAATGTGTAAATCATTGAGTCATTCATTCATTCGATTCATTCGAACAGCTGATTCATTCAGGAATGAAGTAACTGGCTCTCTGTATGAATGGGTCATTGGTTCACCCGATTCATTCAAAACACAGATTAATTCAGAAACCAATCACCTCTGTGTGCTGCTCAGAGACACATTTTTTTGGTAATATTTTTGTTGAAAACAGCTAAAACAGACAATATTGTGCCGCCAATCAACTGTATGAAATGTAAGATGACCCATGTAAGTCTGGGGCGGGTGCATTAACTGCATTAATAATAATCACCTCTGTGTGCTGCTCAGAGACACATTTTTTTGGTAATATTTTTGTTGAAAACAGAGCTAAAACAGACAATATTGTGCCGCCAATCAACTGTATGAAATGTAAGATGACCCATGTAAGTCTGGGGCGGGTGCATTAACTGCATTAATAATTCTTTTTTCTGCTGCTAGTTATTTCTTCGTAACTAATTAATTAAATGTACACATTAACTCAACAGCCCTAGTAATAACATGATACTTTGTCATTAGTGAAGTACTCCAAATTATTTTATTATTAGGAAAAGTTTAGTAAAATCAAGGCAAAGAGGAATAACTGAAACAGACCCTGTTGCTGTGATCGCTGACTTTGATGATCAGGTCGTTCTTTCTCAGATCCCAGACCGAAGCTTTTCCGCTGGGACTGGCCGAGGCCAGGATGTGCTGCACCTGTCTGTTCCACGCAACGCAGCTGATGTCCTCTAGGGGCTAAAAGCAACAACAAAATCAAGACCAGACAGAGGTGGAGACTGGAGAGTCCAGCCCATAGATATACGTGGGCTCTCTTTTCTATGCAAGTCTTTTGAGCAGGCTTTCCATCCACCAGGCAAAAATCTGATTGCTTCGAAAAGCACATTTGCTCTCAACCTTTTTGCCTCTGAGGACCCCCATCGTTCAAAACAATATTCAAAATATTCAGACAATATTCGATATTCCCTGTCCATTCATTAAAATAAGTAACTGAAGTAAGTTTCAGAATTCCAGAAGTTTTAAGAGCTAAATGTTCTTCAGGGATACAACTCCTTTAACCAATTCCAGTCGTTTGTGATTTATTGGATGAGGATTTATGGAAATATTTCTTACTCACAATTTCTACCCGATACAATATTTTAGAGCCCAGTTTTAAGATTTCATTAATTTACTTTGATTTACTTTTCCATATCTAATAATCACTTTTGAAACCAGGCTTCACCATATATCTTGGTTTTCCAAGGCGTATGAACCCTGGTTCTTCAAAGAAAAAATAAGTTGCTGAAGGTGTGAATTTAAATATGAAATATCTTGATTTTTAGTTAAATTTGAGCTTATTTAATGCTTGTTTTATCTTATTTTAAATGATCTTGTGCCATGCTTTTTTGAGAGCCACAACTACAAGCAATAGTACAGCGATGCATTCCCATGAAAACACTATTGCAAGGATGATGCATCTGCCCAATGTTTATCAGAAAGGAAGAACAAAACTAGAACCCATGAAGGAGTGCACATGAGATCTGTACCTGAGTTTTGGGTCCTGGCGTCATTGGGGAGCTCAAGTTGTTCAAATCCCAAATGTAGATTTCTGATTCATTTCCCCCAGAGGCCACAAGGTTTGTCTAAAGAAAAAAAACAACTGTCACCGTCACGGAAAAAATAACAATTCTTGCACAAACTGACCATAGAATAAGAACTTGGTTCGGGTAATCACCTGAAACGAGTTGACGTCGAGAGCTCTTACTGGTCCCGTGTGTTTCTCGCTCTGGGAAATGATCACTTCACTGTCTCCAGCAATGATTTTGGAGGCGTCATAGAGGATGATGTTGCCGTTCTCTCCTCCGGCGATGAGGACACCTGATGGCAAACTCTGGTCTTCAATGCCATGTGCACCCCAGACTAGTTTGTGGTATCTAGATACAGAACAGAAAGGTTACTGAAAATAAACACTCACCAAGTACAAGATGAGAGCATAAGACCCTGTAATAGAACTGTAATAGAAATTGCAACACTAAATGGTTTATATTAATAATGCATCAGAAAGCTAAAGAAAACATCTGCACTGAAAGTTAAAGAAACAAAGTGCTGTTATCAATGCTGGCATTTGTTTGGTGGTCACTTGGATGAGATTATTGTAAATCATTAGCACATAATGTGAGCAAAACGCAGTACCTGTGTGGAGAGGAGAAAGAGCCGCATGACTTCATGGCTAAAGTGGGATCCGACAGATCCAGCTCAAAGATCTCCAGAGACGCATTGGTGCTGAAGGTGGCATCGAGCTGCTGGGCCGACGTACCTGAACACACATTCATCAATGAGACACATTAGACCAAACAGACGTCAGTCAGGCTAGCGCCATATTTAACGGAAATGAAAACGAGGCTGTGAGTGACTGACGTACAGGGAGTTCAATGTATTGTACTGTTAATTAACAACAACAACATACAAAACAGCTTTCTGAAAAAACGTTCAGTAGGCAAAAACTACATAATTCAGGTTTGAAAGTTGTGAGCTGTGAAGATTATGGGATCTAGGATCTTTATACAGTGCGTGCCATTACAAAGACTAAAGCCCAATCCCAATTCTACCCCTTAGCCCTTCCCCTTTCCCCTACCCCTCAGTTTTGCGAGTTCACGTGAAGGGGTAGGGGTGTCTCAATTCTCTTTTGGTTGGAGGGGTAGGGGTAAGGGGAAGGGCCAGACAGCCCTTCAAACGAAGGGGTATGAATTATCTCAGCATAAACCGGCTTCAGGGGCAACATGGCTGCCCGAGCGAACAAAAAGACACATAAATGTAAGCATTTTTGGCATTAATAAAGATTTTAACGAAAAGTAATCATTTGTTTTATGTTACAGTCAATAGTGAGTTCATATTTATGGTCATGTTACTCAAAGAAATGTTTGCAAAAAAACGCTAATATTTGCTAACTAACGTCATATCATTACTGACTGCACGATAGTGCCACAACATATTTTCATGACTAATCAGGGCGATAACCCCCGTAGACATTGAGGGGGGCTAGTCCCCCCAATAATTAGAAATCACTAAACCCTTTTCTCAAATATTGCCAATTCGAGAG